GTGTATGCAAGTTCATGTTTTCTTGGGTGTACATTTGCATACATGTTGATGTTATCAAATTTGGGCATTTTCTTTGATCACTCTCATGTTTTTTTTTTAAAAGTAATTTTATTAAATTATAAAAGTTTCCATTTCCGCCCCTCCTTCCAACACCCTCCCACTCCCCCCACTCCCGCTCCTCCTCCCTCTCCATCCCTAAGAGCAGTCAGGGTTTCCTGCCCTGTGGGAAGTTCAAGTTCCTCCCCCCTCCCTCCAGGTCCAGGGAGGTGAGTGTCCAGACAGACTGGATCCCCAAAATCCAGTATATGCAGAGGAAACAAGTCCCAGTGTCATTGTCAATGGCTTTTCAGAAAGACTCCGGGCCAGCCACATTCAGAGAATCTGGTTGGCTCGCATCCTCGTTCAGTCCCAGTCCAACTGGCCTTGGTAAACTCTCATTAGATCAGTCCCCTTGTATCAGTGGGTGATCGCATCCCTCGCAGTCCTGATTTTCTTTTTCATTTTCTTCCTCCTTCTGCTCCTCATTTGGACCTTGGGGGGCTCAGTCCGGTGCTCCAATGTGGGTCTCTATCTGTATCACTATCTATCGAAGGATGAAGGTTCCCTCTGGTCTTGCCTTCTTTGCTCACGTTCTCTTTCCTTCTGCTTCTCGTTTGGACCTAGGGAGTTAAGTCCAGTGTTCCAATGTGGGTCTCTGTCTCAATCTCCATCTATCGCCAGATGAAGGTTCTGGGACTATTGTCTATTTTGTTTTGTTTTGTTTTGTTTTAGAGGCATGGTCTCAGTGACCCTGAAGCTCATCAATCAGACTAGGCTGGCTAGACAAAGTCCTTCAGGAATCTATCTATCTCTTGAATCATCCAATACCATGGCAACAGCATACCACTTTCTTACATTGGTCCTGGGTTTTTATGATTACATGATAGACACTTTATTAACTGAGCAACCTCCCCAGGCCAACATAGAAGACAAAGACAAATAATATGTAACACAAAAATCATGGCTGACAATAATTTATTAATGAGTGTTCGTTTTGTTTAAGTCTTTGAAATGAGAAGTAAGATAACTTCTATGAATTCTCTACAGGTACAATGCAAACAGAGTAAAGCATCACATTTTTTGTTAGGTGAATTTTATTTATTTACTTAAATAAATAAGGTAGCTGTATATCTGGCATCGTTAATTGTCAATAAGTATTACAAACATGAAGTAATTGGGCTATAATCTACTTAAATTAGTAAGTTATTTTTGTAACTCAAGATATACACATCCCTTTTGTGGACTAAAATAAAACTTCAAGAAACAATATAGATGATATATTGTCAAAGTGTATGCCATATTTTTTTTTCATGTGATGAGGTTGACAGCAATGTTTGAAAAAGAGACTTAGCTGAGGAATAGTTTAATCTCCCTTGTAGTTTAGTATAGGAGGGTATATGAATATTGATTTATAGAGGACTGGATTGTACAGTATTGTGAAGCCTTTGACATTCTCCATTCCCCCAAGAAAAGCATGTACTGAAGAGAAATGAAGATTATAACCTTTAGAGTTTCCCTTTGTGCCCCAAAGCACTATGGGAAGAATTTTGCTCTGATCATGGAAGAGGCATCAATAAACACAAAGACCAATGATATTTAGTAAATTCAACATTTGTTAATTCCTGTAAATCATGGTATCTGCCTTTCAGAAATGTTTTACTGGCCACAGTAGCAGGAAAGAATCATTGTTGTGGTCACAGCTAGAGAATGTGTGTTGGGATTCTGTTCTGGCTCAGCACATCACTGGGGTCTTATGTGCTAAGTCAGTCAGATATTGGATGGTATTTTATACTCACATGAGGTACAAAACAGTTGCTTTGCTACATTACAGAAAAGTCAGACGGTACTGTATCACAGCAATGAACTCATGCTACCTCTTAAAGACATATACAAATAATAGGTGCAGTCATATCAGGAAAAAAAGGGTGTATGAATGACAGGAAGAATATCAACATTATTTAACAGTTTCTCAATGCATTAACAGACAGTTTACAGAGGTCCACATCCCAGTCCTGTGACCCTTTTAAGTGCCTGTTGCAATTGGTCCAGAGAGTCTAGCCAAGACCCCTCTACTGCTAGAGATACTGAGCCTTTTACAGCATCTGTTTGGAGAGCTAAACATTAGGAAGAGACTGAATACTATTACTAAAGGACTCACTGACATGGTTATTTTGAATGAATCAGAATAACCATGCCCACGTTTTTTTTAGTTCTTAGGTAGAATAATGAACTTGAGCCTTCAGTGTTTGCAACCTAAGTCTTTTTGAAGTTCAGTATTATTTAAAATGAGTGGGCATTTAGACTTTCAAATCCATGGTAAATATTCTTTCAAGGGAAGCTGCAGGTTGTCATATTAAGGAAACATGATGAGGAATGATCACTTACATTCTTCTCTGTTGGAAGTTAAAGATATTGACTGTGGACCCAGATGATGAATTCTAAAATGTCTCTTATAGTTTCCAAAAATGCCTAAAGCAAATTCATACTTCATGTATATAATTAAACCCCTATGTTATAGTCTAATTTTTTCTTTAATTTTGTGCTAAACAGCACAAAGCCCTTTATTTATATTTCAGGAATTATCCATTTATTTATCATATATGTGCATTCATTCTCAATACTCATACCATGGCACACATGTGAAGGACAGAAAATGACTTGTGAGAGTCAGTTCTCTTTATACATGGTTGTTCTGGGAATCAAGAACAGATTTCTGCCTTGTCAACAGCCCCTTTACTCGCCACCCCTTCTCGTTGGCCCTTACTTATTTCCATGCTATCTTCACTAGAAAAGGAGAACATTCCTTGTTTTGAGTTGTTGTGAATCTTTTCCCCATGGGATTTTCACCTTTCTCCTTTAGACAGGGAGTCAACATGCAATGACCTGTTTAACAATCTCACATAGCAACATTCAACACATGGCTGTTTTAGTCCAAGGCTCTACTATTGACATCATAAAATAACTGGAACAGCAACATGCAGTAGAGGGCTCCATGTCCTCTTAAAATATGGTAATTTCTATCTCTCCTTTTCATAATAAACTTTGCGATATCCTGTTTATACTATGAAGAGTTGATTTAACATATTAAACAGGACTGGCTTGTCAGTTGAAAGGACACTTTACATTAAGTTGTATAGGAATCAAAGTTGTCCCACTATAAACCATCACGCATTTCTTTATATGTACTCTGGGAATTGAGACCAAGTCCTCAATCTTTCAAAGCAAACATTCTCTGAAATGTCTCCCTCACCAAAATGTAACATTATTTTAATTATTATGTACTAACCATATTTAAGGTTACCTTATGCTGAATTGAAATAATCAACTAAGTTTGGAGTTTATGAGCATGTTCAGCTGAGAGAATTTATTTTATAATAGGGTTTCTGTTGAGTTACATCTGACAATTCTGATTGTGGGATAGGAATACAATTCTGTCGAGATATTCTATCATTATTATTATAAAACCTAAAAGAGGATCTAGACTTGACTTGCTCATTGCTTTGGTTTAGTCTAAAATTATAAACATTTCTTTGATTCAATGGATTTTAAAATGCATCACATACTTTGTGAGTGTCAGCACACTTGAACATTAGAGATTGCCTGGGAAAAGCATTACCTTGTTCATTAAAAAAATGTGCTCATCTCTATATCCCCATGTCAAGTTTATTGTTATTATGGGCACAGTAAGAAAATGCAAATTAGAGTTGATGCCACTTAGCAAACACAATATAGCAAAATTTATGGGCTGAACGACCTTTCCTGAACCATTAGGCACACACAGTACATCAAAGCAAAGTGTCTTAAAGCCTTTGCAAAGATTTTAGCATACCCTAAATTAAGATATATGTACTGTGCTATAATCATAAAACCTGTTGTTTACTGTCAACATGCTTATTTCTTTAAATGTTTGATCATTACCAGACATGCAACTGTAAATTATCTTCTATCATAGGCAAACTATACAAGCCCAATATAATTTATAAATTTATTTTTTTCTCTAATTGATTAGATAGTCTCATAACACAGCTAGTTGTCTGGTATGGGAGGACCTTCTGTCTGTGTGTTGCTTTTATTGGTTAGTCATAAAGAACTGCTTTGAGCCTGTGTCAGGGAAGAACAGAACTAGGCAGGAAACGGAATGCTCTATGTTGGGAGGACGAAAGGTGGAGTGAGAGAGAAGCAATGGAGCCACCAGAGACAAATGCCGGGAACTTTAGCCAGTAAGCCACTGTCACATGGTGATTCACAGATTAATAGAAATGGGTTAAATTAAGATGTAAATGTTAGCCAATAAGAAGCTAGAGCTAATGGGCCAAGCAGTGTTTTAATTAATATAGTTTCTGTGTGATTATTTTGATTCTCGGCAGCCAGGATGAACAAGCAGCTCCTTGCAACATTTGTCAACCATGGCAACTGGTCTGTAGAAATGGAATATAAGAAATGAGGTGGAGAAATCCAGTCAATAGAAACCTGTTTAATTGTTTGAGCCTAGATTACTTTTCTTTGTACAAACGCATACCAACTATGTTTGGCTGTAGACATTTGTAATCTGAACAGTAAGGAAACTGAGGCAGAAATGCTGTTTGCTGTGGGCTTTCTTGGGCTACATAGTGAGAACTTCCCTCAGAAGAAAAGTCACCAAAAAACAATAAGAAATAGCTATGTATTTGTGTGTGTATCTCATAGATTATTAAATTTGATTTTATATTGCATATATATATATATATATTAAATTCTTCATAAAAACGACACAGGACTTTCTAAATACTTGTTTGTTTGCTGGGAATATGACAATCTTGTCATAGTAATACTTGATAGTATAGTGTAGTGATACAGTGATCAGTATTAATATAGTCATAGACAATGTAAAGAATATTTATGCCTTCTTTATTGTTTCAAATATTAGTATAGAAGAAAATACATCTCTTAAAAATTAAATATATTATGCAGTGGCTGTGGAGACTGGAGGAGGCTGTTTTCTGTGCTTATGTAGACACCTGGGTGGTAAGAAGTAAAGGAAAAACAGGAGGAGGCAACAATATTCTTATGAGGAAAAAAAACAGATATATTTTAAAAATATCTGTATCATTTAAAAATTTGAAAACTCACAGTATCTGTGGGTTCAGTTGAGGATTTGGTGTCATATGAGATTGGAAACTTTGTTTCTTTCATGTGAATATAAATTTTATTAGTAGCAAATTCAAGTACCTAAGACTGGTTGGATTACAGGTAGAAATGACTTTGAAGAGCACTGTCGTTTCAAGAATAAATGCAGGCAAGAAACACTGCTTCACGCTTCAGTAAGTTCTGAATTTTTAAAACCTGTTGGGTATTGTGAGATTATTCTTATGACCTTAGATAAAGTTTACATTAGAAAATAAATAATTAAGGTATGGTCAATATGGATTTTCTCATTACAGTTCGACAATCCTCTTTACAACTTCCTTACCAGCTTATTCTCCTTCCCTTTCTCTTCTACCCATTCCCCTCTTACCCCTTCTTCTAGTCTCTCGTCTCTCCCTTCCCATCTCTTCTCCATGCCTCTGTCACCTCTCCCTACATTTCCCTTCCTTCCTTTCTCCTCCTCTTCTTTCCCCTTCCCTGTGTCTTCCTTTCTTTCTCTTCCATGTCTCCTTCTATCTACCTTTAGTAATCTTCCCTTCTCACTCCCCTTTCCTCTCCCCATTCCACAACACCCCCCCCCACTTCATTCCTTGCTCATCTAGTTTTATTTTCCTTCCTCTCCTCCACTTTCTCGCCATCTGTCCCTTTCTCTTTCCTCTTCTTTCCTTCTCTCTTCTTTCCCCTTTCCTTCTTCTCTTTTTCTCCATCTCTTTTCCCCCACTCCCTCTCACACCCAACCACTTACCAGCAAGTTCTTGGATCTGGAATTTGAAGTCTCAAGCCTAACTCTCCCTTCTTGGCAGAGCGTTTCTTCACTGTGCTATGCTATACTTGTTGGAACTTTGCTCAAAAGCCCAAGGGCATTGATCCAGGGTTGTCCACCTGTCAAACACAAAGACCTTCTTGAGAATAAGCTATAGACATTTTAACAGATAGAATCCCTCTATTCCTGGAGGATTGCTTCCCTGGTGCTTTCATAATCTGATAGACAGAATGTGAAGCCATTCTTCAGGATCACAGAATGCCAGGTTTTCTCTGACTGCTGGCTCCATGTTGAATGTTGGCTTGAAAACCCAAATCTTGTGTTACTTCCACTTATCATTAGCCTGGACTGTCAAAGCCAAGCTTCCATCATTCAGCTTGGTATTGCATATATTTGGTGTTAATTTAGTAAGCATCACTAATTTGCTCACTTTGAACTTTAAGGTCTAACTTTAAAGTTTCTGTTGTTAACATTTCTATGAACATTCATCTTCCTCTCATCCTCTTTCTTCAACCCTTGAACTCACTGTAGATAAGGTTGTCCTCAAACTCACAGAGGTACTCCTGCCTCTGCCTTCCGAGTGTTGCTTTTAAGGGAGTGAGACACCACTGTCCAGCTTCCTCCAAACTCTCATATCTATCTTGTAGTTTTGTTGTTTTAATTAATAAAGTTTCTTCATTTGTTTCACATCCCAACAACAGTTTTCTTCCCTCCTCTCCTGCCATTCCTTTCTTCCACTGCCCCTCTGCATTGAAAATCCACTCCTCCTCTGTTTAGGTTTAAAAAGGGATAGGCCTCCCACTGTGTCATCAGAGCATGGCATATCAAGGTGAGGGGGGCTAAGCTCCTCCCCTTGTCTTAAGGAATATTAGCAATGCAACACAATATGAGGAATAGGTTCCCAAAAGTCTGTCAAAGCTGCCGGGACAGGTCCTGTTCCTCCTACTAAGATTTCCACAAATACACTAAGCAATACCACTATCACACACACATAAAGGGCCTAGGTTTGTCCCATGTAGACACCTTAGCTGATTCAGTTGTTAAAGGCAATGCTTACAACTAAAAACACCTAGTAGTTTTTTGTTTTTATTTTTAACTTCATTTTCTCCATATTCCACAGAGCAGCTCTGTCTGTCTTAGGACACTGCCACAGCAGTGTGGACATTTTTAGTCTCACTTCTGCTCTTGATGTTTTTTGAGGAATTCTGCCAAGAGCAGCAAACATTTGTAACATTGAAAATGAGACCATGTGATTTCTCTGCTTCAGGACTTGCCTGTTCCATCCCTCCTCATACCTTGTCCTGGCTCCTTTAAGGAAGGCTTTCCTTGCTTGCCTTGGAGGCTTCTATGCCTCTGTCCCTCTTGTGGCAGCTACTGATGCGAGTTTAAAATCTTCATAATGATTTTTATTCTAACTTTTTTCAAAGGGTCTGTCCTGTGCATTCTTTCCAACACTAGGAAGATGTCTTTGAAGACAGTAGCAATATAATGATGTACTAAATCCTACTTCTTTTTAGTATTTGCTTCTTTTTAGTCTAACATGTGAACTGCATATGTCACTAAGACTTGCTGCTATATCCCTTCATTTAGTACTTTAAAAAAACTAAAAGTCAAGTAAACAGGCTTTATCAATATCTATTACATAATTATCATAAACAAATATATTTACTTGTTTATATTTTTAAAAAAACATTGTATTTACTTACACATAGACGATGGTTTAATGTCCACTGATCTAACTCTATGAATATACAATTCTATGTTACTTTCATCTTTTAACCTGAACCCTGAAGCATTGCCCTGTATTATTTCTAAAAAACAGGCTATAAAATACATAAAACTGGAATGCTTTGTTTATATATGTGTGTGTGTGTGTGTGTGTGTGCAAAAAATAAAAGAAAAATGAAAATATTATCATTTCAACTTACTTGTCTTCTCAGAATTCTTGCCCTGTAAACACAGAAGTGTTTCTTCCTTCAACATACATTAATTCATCTTTTTTTTCTCCCTGCAATAGGTTTCTTTCTTTCCTGCTCCTTTTTTCCTCACATTCGATCAAGAGAGAAGAGTAACATTTCTCTCCACTCATCTTATAAATTTTTAGTAACACTGAAAAATTCTCTTTGGCTTTAAAAGTAGACTCCCTGCTTTCTCTCCTGTCTTGCTCAATTAAGACTCAAATCCATCTTCCTGAAGTCTGTCTTGACTTCCTCCAACTGTCTTGAATCTAGGTTAGACGATGTAGCCAAGCAGTAACTGAAATGGCTATAGAAGTTCTAGAAAGGAAAATAAGAAATATCTCAGAAGCATATAAAATTCAGGAAGTCAGTAGAGCCTCAAAAAGCTCCTGGGTGTGAAAAACTAACCTGACAATGAGAAAAGTACTAGTGGAAGCTGATGCAAAAACCACAGCATAGCTGGTTCCCTAGCTGTGCTTTAGATAAAGGACTCATATTAGTGCGTGAATCCTATGGTTTCAAGTAAAAGCAACCCGATGTAAGCTGTTGTAGCCAGGGAAGAGCTCCCCATGGGTGCGACTGGATAGGGATGCATTTTGTGATGAATGTATAGGGAGACTTTACAATTTCCACTGGCACTGGGCTAGCTGGTCTAAGAAGTTATGCAAGCCAGAGACATCTGAGCTACAGAAACTCTCTCCACTGATGCACATGCTCATTCAATAGTTGGCCTCCCCTTTGTCCACAGTCTTCCTATATGTAAGAGAAATTGATGGCTTATCTGGATACATGCACTAGAAACCTCAGCAGTGGACATTCTCTGTAGCACAAATAATAAAAACCCAGAGACAGGTCCAAGCTGAAGATCAGAAGAGCAAATCAGCTATCCCACTAAAAAATTCTTGCCTCTACCAAGACTGGGCAATCCTGTCTTCAGCGTGACTGTAGACTGACTGCAGTATGAGACCCTAAGCTCCTGTTCTTCCCATATTATATTCCTCTCTAGTGCTAGGATTAAAGCCTTGCAACACTGCCACCCAGCCTCTCTGGCTTACTAGTGCGGCTGCTGCGATTAAAGGTGTGTGCAACCACTGTCTGGTTTGTATGACTGACTAGTGTGGCTAGCTTGCACTCTGATCCTCAGACAAGCTTTATTTATTAAAACAGAAATGAAATATCGCTATAGTACTCATGCCCAAATATCTACTTCTGGATAATGACTGGGATTAACATGTTCATCCCTAGAACCTTGGCTTCCAAGATACATTGCATCTACTTGAATCACCTGTTCACATTTTGACCAATCCTGATGGTCAAAATGGACTTCCTCTTAATTATAGAGAAGTCTTTCATGTTGATCAAGTCAGAGACTAATGGAAAAGAGATTTTCAAGAAAGAATGATCTTCTCAGAAAGAGGTACTGCAAGCATTCCAAAAAAAAAAAAAGTATTTCTTGTTCAAGACAGTGAGATTGCAAACGGAATTCCAAAGTTTACTTTGTATCAGATAAATAAATGCAAGTTAATTAATAATTACAACCAGAGAAACCTGTGTGTCAACCATTTTAATTTCTTAAGGAATTAACATAGAAATCTTATTACAAACTGAGACCTACTATAAAACGTACTAGCTTTTGTTTTCATTAGAATCTTAATTTTACATTCTAAATATGTTATCTGACTTTAAGGACAAAAGTCCCACATCCAGCAGCCCCCAGTGGGAGGTGCTCAGCCATGTTCATTCTCAAATCACCTATTAAAAAGATGATTTAAAGTGAAAAGCAAGAGGGTAATATCTAATCAAGATGGCAGACTGAGGGCAGGAATAAGTGAGGGAATCCATATTTGTGTATAATCCCAGATGTCATATTAAATCAGAGCATTGCCTATGAAGGATGCAAAGGATCTTAAAGGAACCATCTTGGGCAAGTGCTTGGATTGATCACTGTCTCAGTTCTGGTTCTCTCACTGGCCTGAAGGATGTTCTATTTCTAGAAGGGATGACCTATTCTCATGGGTTGCTTCCTGCTGCTTCAAGCTATTATCTTTCCATCATAGGCAATTACTTTCTGCTTGGACATCATTCTACTTTTTCTGTTCCCAGAATTCACAGTTACTACAGTATTAAGACTATTCCTAGAGACACGTTGGTGTCTTCAAGGGGTTTGAAACAGAACATGGTTAAAAAAAAGAAAAAAAACAGATAGGAAGAAAGAATCTGCAACGCTTTTATTGTCTTTCAGGTCTGGAGGGATTTTAAAGTGAAGTTTGGTACCATTACATGTTGCTGTGCAGATACTCCATTAGTAGGAAATATGGCTAGGTACAAAGGTGAGCAGATCACCCAAAATAAAAGAGAGAGCCACTAGATGAAGAAAAAAATAGGCATTATTCTGCTTTTTTAACTCATTTGTTGGTCCAAATGAGGAGTGACTTCTTTTACCAAGAGTATGTAAATGCCCAGAATACTAGTCATTTAATATTGCACACGCATGTCCAAAACACATTCAGAAAGAATGTGGGTTTTGTTTTTCTTGAACTTGCACCTAATGGAACGGCATGTCACACTGCAATGTAACATTGTTAACTAATGTAATTTTTATTCTCAATTCTGGCAATAAATCGTGATTTTTTTTAGGAAAATCACACATTTACTTCTTCCATTTATCTTCAGTAGACATGTTGGGGAGGCTCACATGTATGAAGCACAATTCCTATTCTATTTGAATAAAGTACAGTAAATATAAGATTCTAGTATTGGCAGGGGGCAGGAAGCATAAGACTTGGAGCTGGAAAATCCAACATCTGAGCTTCTGTCTTGCCATGGGGACCATGCCTCTTAATAAGAACTTAATAATTAGTAAGGCCAGGAAAATTTTCAGTTTCAGTGTCTCCTTCTGTGTATGCTTTCCTTACCTGGCAATGTACTTACATACTTACTTAATTATTTACAATGCATATACCTAGCTAGCACTTTTATTTTTTTTCAATAACCTCCAACTGGAAAGCTGAGAAGAGAACTACTTGTTGTATATCTCTATATATACTCTTGATAAGTAGAATAATGTACATTCATCTTTGTATTATTTTTATATTGCACTACCATTAATAAGATACGCTTCAAACATGTTTTGATAACAATGCTTTTGCAGAATTAATTGG